TTTTAAAATCTCTGACACTTCCAGGTTTTCCACACCTGGATTTATATTCCAACAATATTCCTTTTAAGCAGGAATTTACCTCTGATGGGCAAGTGCGGTCTCCAGTTCCCACAGCCATGCCTTGCCTTGCGGGTATTTAGATTGGTATGCAACTCACAGTGTTTGTGGTTTGAGGAAACGAAAATGATTTTTTCGAGGATAATTTCAAATAACTGTAAGAGTGCAGCCAACATTCCATTATAATTAACAATGAAGTGCTGAAAAAAAAAAAAAAAACAGAAAGCGAGAGAAATAACGAGTGAGACAGAGAAGGCTGGAGGGCTTAATACCACACCACAGAATCTATCTAAGACGACAGCTACAAAAACACTGGCAGCCAGACCTAAAATCAGTGTTCAACCACACCACATGCGAACCACTCAACCTGTTACAACACTACTATTAACAGCATGTCTGGGATCAGCTCTGTTCCTTATGTCTGGAGCAGGAAAACATCTTCAGAAACGTGTCGTGTAACATCCAGCTCTCTCGTTCTCAAGCCTGAATTAAGCGCAAGCAGTGAATCAGGACACACATTCTGCATGCTTCATAAGGATAACAGGAAATGGCTGAACATTTCATGCTTCTAAGTTTGATACTTGCGAGTCTTGCCTTGTCTGAAAGAGATTCCTGATGCAATCTTAAGGTTGATCCAGTTGATCTTTGCTGAATTTGGGTCGATGAAAAGAACCAGTTTGAGTCAGAGTAACTTGATGAATGGAAAGGACTAGGCCGAAGAAAGGTCTGGCACAATGCTTTGGTATCCTGAAGCGTTTTCTCACATCTTCATCTTAGCATCTGACCGAACCACCGACTGGGGCGGGTCACATGGTGTGTCAGCTTTAAGGTCAGAGAAGATCCCCGCCTCTCAAGATGGGCTTATCCAATGAGAAAGGCCTGCTCGTGGGGTGTTACAGAGTATTTGTTAAATCTAGCTAACAAAATATATATTGTGTGTTTGGGTGGTCCAGACGCTACAATATTTAGGCACTTGTGATTTCCAATAATATTTCAGTTGGTGAGTGGGAGACCAGGCCAGTTTTGGAGAATAACTAACTATTAGAAGAGATGCTACTAAGTTAACTTTTTTCAGTAGCGTGCCAGCAGCGAGCGCAGCTGTTCCAGTAAAAGCTAGTTTATACAACAAGTAAAGCATTACAAAACACTACATCACTGTATTTGTCACATTTACTCTCACAGCCTTACAACAGAGTAAACTGAGGCACTAAAACACTTTCCTAAACACTCCTAAAACAGTTTTGGGAAGTCAAAATCATTCATTTCAGTGAGTCAGTTAATTCAGACTGCATCACTTAAATGTACTTGTTAAATATGATTCATTTGAATGATAACTCACTTGTTTTCCAATACAACTCATTGTGCACTATTTCTATAGTCTTCTGTGTGGTGAAATAAATGTTCTATTTTTAGTTGTGAACCTAATGTATATTCAGATAAATTCTGCTCTTTTTAAGTAAATTACTTAATCTGATAATTATAGTCAGTTTGACTCTTTTTTCAGGATTCTTTGATGAATAGAACCTTGAAAAGTACAACAGCATTTATTTGAAATATAAATTATTTCTAACATTATATAATGTCTTTACTGTCACTTTTAATCAATTTAATGTGTCCTTGCTGAATAAAAGCATTAACTAAAATAATCTTACTGACCCCAAACTTTTGAATGATAGTGTATAGTTAAATTGTATTTACATTTATAGCAACACTGCAGACTGTCCAAAAAATGCATTTTGGATTGCATTTAGTCCTAGTGGCAAACCAATGTTGAGGTTCACTGACTCTTAACCAGACAAAAACTCTCGTTGTGTTTGATATGAGAGTGTCCTCAAGATGAACTCAAATGGCCAAAACAAAAACAAAAAATTACATGAATTATTCTATTTATCTGAGCAGTACCCTGTCCAATCAATACTCCTGATCGCCCTCCCTGTTCTGTCACAATAATACGCTGAGATCTGAGCCAAACTCATCCATCAGTGCAGTGAAAACATTGTGAAGCCCTATAGCGGAATAGAAACAAATGGATAAGCCATTGCCCAGAATGATATGCTGTTGCCAAAGCTAAGCTCAGATAAAGTTGAAAGGCACAGTGGAGTTTGCCAATACCAGTGCAAAGTTCTTTTTTAAAGGGCTAATCGTTCTTGTAAGTGCTGCGTATTTGCCTGCGTGTGTGCGCAGAGCCTTTTGTGTGAACAGGTCAGCTAAATGTGAGCAAACAGAAAAATGGGCGGTTAATATGAGGCTAAGAGAGGCATAACACAGTTAGTGAAACATTGGTAGTAGTGTACTTCCACAAATAACAGCTCACTTAAATTATTCGTATTGCTAGCATAATGAATTCGATCATTTGTAAGCATGCACATACACAAACTCCTACAAAAGCTATCAAAGTAATTAAACACTATGCAATGCTCTGCCTTCATTCAAAAGCTATAAAACGTCACCAGATTTCCCTGTATTATCTGTAACGTCTCTGCCAGTAAAATGAGTAAAGAAGTTGGGAAACGCTCTGCAATAAAAAAAAGTTCCTTCACTCTGTTGTGAAATAATCCAGTTCGAGGAGTCAAAAAAATGTAGTAAATGTGCAATAAGAGCTGACCAGAGACATGTTTGTACAACTTTTCAGCATGGTTTAAACTTTGAAAACTATAAATCTCAAGTTCCTCATCGGGAAGTTCTTTTGGAGAGGGCTGACATTTTTTGGCCCGTGTCTTCATAGCGGGAGGAACTGGACAGACCTTGAAACATCTCAGAGAGGCTTTAGTACAAAATGATTAAATAAAGACTGCGGGGAGCCAATTAAATCTGCCAGGAGGGAAAAGTCAATCAAACCGTTTCCCAGCTCAGTGAGGGGTTAAATTTACAATGCCCAGGATAAAATGAACCAGACTAGCACGAGCATGGCTGATATCAGAGGTCAGCAGTTCCCACTGATTTCTTGATGCTGACCCGCTACATTATTAGCATAGCAGCCAGATGCATCACACACAGTAATAAATTCATGCCTGCCTCCCTCTTGCCCAACTTGTCAACAAATCTGTGATAATTACTTAAAAATATAGAATGACAAAGTGTGCATTGAAAACACTGGAGCTGAGTTTCTTGCACAATCTCCATGTCTGTTCCGGGGAAACGGTAAACATTTCTGTGAAAGCAGGAGCAAGCAAACATCCAACAGGAAAGGCATGTGAGCATATGTTTGTGTGCATTCTGTGCATCTGAGCGCAAGGGGTTCGTGTGGAAGGGTGGGTAAGTGTTTACCTCTGGGTTCAAAGAGTCTACATTTGAGCTAGAGGACAAGTGAAGTATGTGTGTATCTAGGCTCAAAGTGCTGGACAGAGGCCAGGTCAGGAAGGTACATTATTTATTATTCGGCCTTTAAAACCCAGTCTGTTATTCTAACATTCCAGCAGTATGGTTTGTGATTGTGGTGGATAGACCTGGGACTTACATTACAGGGATTTATTTGACCCCACAATCTAAGCCTTCCTTTCAAAATGAGATTATCTGTCAGTCTGACTTCTTTCAATTACTTGCTAAGTGGCTGGTTTAATACTTTAAAGATATAGGTCAGCCGGATGAGACTGCGTATCTCAGGCCTTTGGACACAAACAAGATGAGTTCCTGATAACTCATGTGAGGATGATAATAACCATGCTCAGGAGCCAAACCTTTGTGGACACAGGGTTTTGTTTCAAACACAGATCTTGGCATGACTGCCAATAATTATCTAAAAGACAGTCGGAGTTCACAATACGGATATATTCTGCTGGAAAAGATTTTACTTGCAATGACAATAATTGATCCTACCAAAGAAAGTAAAATAAAATAAAATAAAATAAAATAAGACTAAAAAAATGTATCACCGTTTCCACAAAACTATTAAGCAGCACAACTGTTTAGAACATTTATATTTTAACTATATATACAGCGCATACACATTAGAGTTAAGAAGTTTGGGGTAAAAAAAATTAAGCATTGATAATAATAAGAAATTTTTCTTGAGCAGCAAATCATCATTAGAATGATTAGAATGATGTAACACTGAAATCTGGAGTAATGCCTGCTAATTTCACAGGAATAAATTATATTTTGAAATATATTAAAATAGAACATACTATTTCATAGTGGAATATAAAGCAAGACGATATATTATATAATTTTAAATAATATGATATATTATTATATAATTAAATTTTCACCATATTGTAAATGATTCTTCCAAAATTAATTAAAGGCTGGAATACACTATGTAACTTCTGCCCAGATTTATAGTCTGGAGGAGTCAACACTAGTTTCCCAAAGTCAGAGCTAGTCTGCAGATTTTCGCCAGTTGGGAGTTGACCGAAATTTGCATAGTGTACGATGGGGTTAGCATTGGACTATGATCGCATCCAGTACGAGGATTAATGTATGAAGCCCAGTTTTTCCTCTGTAGCCATATACAAAGTCACCAAGTGTATGATGCCTAGTGCTTTAAAACATGTTCAGATTTTCATAGTCCTCTAGTGTATTTCAGCCTTAAGCCACTCAAGCCACAACCATTTTGACAAAAGCTAATTTGTGCCAAATATATAATATGTCATATATGGCAGCACTATTTATGTATATTTGCAGAACAGCACAGAAAAGTAAATCACCAAGTCTGCAAGTCATAAAAAGTCTTTCACTGTCAAAAACTGTAAGATTGTTTGAGTGAAGAACATGCACACAGGTCCAATAGGACTAGATCATTTCATCAGCTGGACCAAGAATCTCTCATACTGGTTGACAATATTAGCTAAAACTAGCACTGATTAAGCGGAAACTTCCTTGTAGAGAACCCATCAATCCCATTCCTAAGTTCAACTTGACAAAGAAAAAAAAAAGATTTGATGAAAAATAATAAATAAGTTTAGTCTCCGGTTCGTGATCAGACTGCATTCTGCACACATTACCTCGACAGTGCGGCCCCTCGTCACGCCCATCCGTGCAGTCTGGGACGCCGTCGCACAGCTTGCTCAGGTGAATGCACACATCTGTTCCTCGACACTCAAACTCATTGGGAGGGCACTGTGACACCTGGGTGTGATGGCCTGCAAAGGTGCACAGCAAACAAACACAAGTTAACACATTGCAACGATACAAAGAGATGCAGCTCCATTCAACTTCTAGTCATATCTATTTCTTTAAGAATGTTAACAAAGTTAACACCTGAGTGATTCAATGCATGATAATTTGCACAATACAGTGACAACAGACTCATAATGTGGTAGAGTGTGAGAGCATGTGCATTTGAGTTTCAAACCATTCGGTTTAAATGTCTATAGCAACCTTATTACAGTTTTCACTGGCTGTAAAATTATTTTTCCGATTGGTGCAACTGGTTTCCAATTATGTTAGTATTATTTATGTATTATAATAGTATTATAATATTATTTATTCAGTATCAGTGCTATGTTAGCATTAGTTAGAAATTATGATATTTTGAATGAGCTTTTATTTTTATATTTTCAGTTTCGCTTTTAGTTTTAGTAATTTGGTTACATGCTTCTGTGACTTCAACTTTTTTTAGATGGTTGCAAAGTTCAAGTTTTAGGTTTAATATTATATTTTATTCAGCTTTACAGCTTTATTTCAATTAACAATAATTATTTCAATAGTTTTACTTCATTATATCAACACCATTCTGAATGTCCACTGAGAATTTAATTAGTAGAATATACATGTCTTAGTCTGCTTGCACATATCTAGTCTCAGTAACATATTCCAGAAGTTAGGAGAGCAAAAGTCAGCATCAGGCCAAACAAAAAACTATTGTCTTTTGTTTAAAAATCTTATTGGTAAGACTATAACTTGCTCTCTTGGTTCAGAAAAAAACAAAAAGTGAACGTAAACCATTCAGAGCATCGCTATTGGCCAGAGTCGTTCTCTCTCCATGCGGCCCACACGGCAAAGCAAATTGTTTGTCTTGGATATTTTTCTTCCACCTACTCTTTCTTTATTTCCCTCCACCTCTATTCATAACATCTGCTGACCCATTTTAGAAAAACACAAGAAAAGAAGGGGGAATTCACCCCCCATACAGAAGTGAAGCAGTTTTTTAACCGGGTTAACGCTGCTCACATTGCACCACACGGCTGCTTCTGAAGGTCAATTAGGTTTTTCTGCTCACTTAATAGCACATGTGTGAGTATCTTCAGGGACGGAAATGAAGGGGCCAACGTGCTTATTTGGTTCATTAAAGCTTGGCAAAAACAGACTGGAAAAAATGTTTCTGTGGGAGGCCCCAACAGAGCTTTAATTTTATACCAAGGGCAACATTATAGCTCTGTTCCAAAATCTAGTGAGCTGCCTATGTAGGAAGCAGTTTATGTATATGTAAAATGTTCAAAACCAATTCCAAGGTTCTGTCTCTGCTAGAATACTGCCATAGAAGGCAACTGCCTGTGTGGGCAGCTCACCAGTTTTTGGAACAGACCCATAAATGAACTTCCATTTTAGCTCAAAATCTATTCTCAAGCAATGGCATAAAAGCTGAACGAAAATATTTAGATTGGACTATCAAAGACAACATTAAACAGCATTTGCAAACCATAAACTCATGTAATGTAGCATTTTTTTATGGAAACATATTAATTGTGAGAGAATGTAGAGTGGGACTGGATATGATCCACTGGGGTTTGACTGGATTTGTGAAAAGTGTGCGAATGAGGCTACTTTTCTCCACCCACACAAACAAGGGAAAAAAAGGCTAGCGCATTTTAAAGAAAGATTATAACGAACATTGTTAAATCTTGATATAGGAATATCTATCCATAACTGTACAATGATTTTGTACTTATGTAACTCCAAAGATCACAATGAATACTTCCATTACTGTAATGAAGCTTTCCAGCAACACCAACACATACCCGATCCAAACAGCCCCCATCTTTCCAAACCTGGCTGTTTAATTTCAGCTGTTCCACTAAATTCAGAAAGGAACATTGTGTACTTCCTCTTTTACTCTTTCTCCAGCTTCATATTTATAAAGTGTCTGATTCATATCACACGACAGCATCCATCTATCATCTGTTATGATGGGAGTGAAACCAATATCAGAGATCCTAAGGAGTTTTACATAGACCAGAGGTCAGCAACCTGGGAAACTGAAAGAAATCAGTCTGAAATTGTATTCATTAAATGTATATTTACTGCAGAAAAGTCAAAGTTGCAAAGTCCTTCCATCTGCATGTCAGACTTCCTCCAATTCTTCCTCATGGTTACAAAGTCTGTTTTATTTAGTTATGTGAATGGAAGGAGTTATGTGAAGTGAATGGAAGCCAAACACCCACTGGACAAGTTTACTGTTACACAAGTATCCAGTGGGTCATGCAGTGCCACTCAGACGCACACGTGTTTACATTGCTACAAAAAAAACTTTACAAATTCTTTTGAATTTTCTATTCATCAAAGAATGCTGAAAAAAAAGTATCATGGCTTCCATTTAAATATTAAGTACTGATAATAATCACCAAATCAGCATATTAGAATGATTTCTGACACTAAAGACTGGAGTAACGGCTGCTGAAAATTCAGCTTTTCCATCACAGGAATAAAACAAATTTTTAAAAGTTATTTATTTTAAAATTTAATTCCCTCTCAGGGTTTGCTGGCAGGGTAACAATTCAAGCAAAGCTTAAATCCAGATCTTCAAGTTCAAATGTCTCTTTAGCCATTGTTACCCGTCTGAAACACTAGCCAAAAAGATTCTGTGACTAGTGTGGAGAAGAGGCCATCTGAACAAAACTCACCAACTAATCCTAATTCTGCTTAAATACACTCCTAAATCTTTTCAAATGTGCCCAAAAAGTGTAATGAAATGGAAAAGAGAACAATAAAGGGTGATGCTGCCATGCAAAAAGCAGTTTTGCGAATGAGAACACACGAGGGAGCAGACAGACGGATGTTTCACAATGAGTGTGAGTGAGTGAATTGGGGGCAGATCTCTGTGATCTTTGAGCGAACTGGGAAGTCGTTGGCCGTTTGCTAACAGCAGCTCTCCCATACAGGCAACGACTGCTTCCTTCCTGGACTGTCACCGACACCCTGAAGCACATGCACTAAACACAACAGAGAGAGCAGGGGGGGGGGGGGAATAAGAGGGG